GAATCTTGATAACTGCTTGCCTGGGACTAGCATTACACCTCAAACTTTGATCTCTGCTTCTGGAGCAGGTGTTAAGATTACTGATGTGAGCCAGCACTTACATCCCAGTTTTTAAAATATAGTAATGATGCAGGGAATTAAAGTTTACAGATTTCCTGTCTATTATCTGTGAACAATTAGAGCTTATGGTCAGTAGAAATGGACGAGGGAAGCTTCCAAACTATTGAGCCTGTGCTAATAAATGCAACAGTTGTTCATAATTTGGTGGTAAATGACCTTTAAATGCAACCACTTATGGAAGCTGTCCTTGGGGAGCAATTTAACTTCCAAATGACATCCCGGAGTAGCTGTTATCATTTAAATACGCTTCCTTTTGTCAATAATAGAATAACAAATACTGGTTAGATTTCTGACGTGGATTCAGATACTAGGAAACTTGCTGAATAAATTAGTGTACATTTGATTTATATTGACCAATTTTTTTTTCCACATTGCTATGTTACAGGTCAAGGTGACATGCATTTCAATGCATGCTGGAGCAGGGGTCAGGCTTGACTGGCGTGAATGCTTACACGGTTTTTAATTAACTTTTGAATATCACGCTTACATTATTTTTCAAGTACCAGTTATTGGGAACAAGATTGAAATGAATTTAAAGCATTGGTAGAGATTTTATTTTAAAAGTCATCTGCCCGAGCTGGTGGCTCACACCTGAAACCTTAGCCATGCAGGAGGCTGAGATTTGAGGATCGCAGTCTGAAGCTAACCCAGGCAGGAAAGTCTGAGACTCTTTATCTCCAATTAACAAGCAAAAAGATGCAAGTGGCAGGGCTGGGAAGGTGGTTCAGTGGTAGAGCGCTTGCCTCCCATGCGTGAGGCCCTGGGTTCGATTCCTCAGCACCACATAAGCAGAAAAAAGCCGGTAGTGGCTCAAGTGGTAGAGCGCTAGCCTTGAGCTGAAGAGCTGAGGGACAGTGCCCAGGTGCAGAGTTCAAGCCCCACAACTGACAAAAAAAGAAAAAAAAAGACACAAGTGGAGTTGTGGTTCAAGTGCTAGAGTATTGTCTTTGAGTAAAAAAACCTACGGGTTCTGTCCAGGCCCTGAGTTCAAACCTCTAGTACTAGTACACACATGGGCACACCTGTGCACACACATAGTCACTAGTCATATTTCACAAACATTACGATTGGGGGATGGTCCAGCCATCCTTTATCTAATAGTTTGTGTAGAAAGCAGAGCTGCTATTTTCACTAGATTGAATTCACTATGGCTTTTCTGTGCATGGATTTACAGAAATGATCGGACACAACACTGAAAAAAGCAAAAGTATGGGACATGTTTTCCCCTCTTCAGGAAGCCAGTCAGGGAGCAAACATGGCTGTGCCAGGAGCTTTGTGTGTTGCTGTGGCTTTGGAACGCAGGTGTGGTGTGTAGACGCAGGTGTGGTGTGTAGACGCAGGTGTGTTGTGTTGACGCAGGTGTGGTGTGTGGTGTGTAGACACAGGTGTGTTGTGTAGACGCAGGTGTGGTGTGTGGTGTGTAGACGCAGGTGTGGTGTGTAGACACACCCTGCCACCCACTCACTAGCAGGACAAAGCAGGAGGTCACAGGGAAGCGTGGACCCCTGTCTTCTTTGACCTTTCAGAGAGAATCTTCGCTCAGAACCATGGTGCTTTTGCATCTAAATATTGCTGCATGAAAATTATTATTATTATTATTTTATGCTGGTCCTGAGGCTTGAGCTCAGGGCTTGAACACCATTCTTTAGCTTTTTTGCTCAAGGCTAGTGTGCTACCATTTAAGGCACAGCTCTACTTCTGGCTTTTTGGTAGTTAATTGTAGGTAAGAATCTCATGAACTTTCCTGCCTGGGCTGGCCTCAAACGGTGATCCTTAGATCTCTACCTCCTGAGTAGCTAGGATTACAGGCATGAGTCACCCACTCCAAGATGTACATTTCCTTTTGTACAGTGTCTTCAGATCCCTCATTCTCTTCAGTTCCTCCCGTCTCCACCCATGAGTTGTATAGGTCACCTTCATAAGTGTCCAATGAGCTCCGCTGCTGTACTTTTTCACCCTTTTCTAATGGGATTCTGTGCCCCTCCCCACCCTCTAGAAGATATATACACTTGGAAGAATGCACGATACATTAGGTAAAGTCAAGACAGAATCATCAAAAACTAAAAAAAAAGTCCTGATTCCATATCTTGGAGCTCATTTCACTATGTATATTATTTCATATAAATATGAAGAGACACTTAGGCATTGCACCTTGTGTTTCTCTCTTAAGAGTATCCTCTTTTGGTCTCATTGTGTATGCATATCTAGGATCCTGTATAATTTATCATATCCCAGTATATTTTAGGTTTAATTTCTGCATATCAGAGAAAACATACACCACTTGTCTCTCTGAGCTTGGCTTACCTCACTTAACCTGATTTGTTCTAATTTTACCCATTTCCCTGCAAATGACATTATTTTATTCTTTCTAATAACTGTATACAATTCCATTGTATATAGGTACTATATATAGATATAGACATTGATCCACGTATCTACTGTGGGGCATCTGGGCTGTTTCCACATCTTGGCTACTGTGAATAGTGCGGCAGTGAACATGGGTGTGCAGGTGTCTTTATCATCTCCTGGCATGTGATGCTGAGAGTAGATACCAAGGAATGGTATGGCTGGGTCACAGGGAAGGTCTGTGTTTTTTGAGGAACCTCCAGACTGCTTTCCACAGCGGTTGTACTAGTTTCCATTCCCGCTAGCTGTGTAGTGGGTTTCCTTTTTCCCCGCATCCCCACCCGCATCTGTTGTTGGAATTCACGATGTTGGCCAGTCTAACTGGGTAAGATGGCATCTCAGGGTTGTTTTGATTTGCATTTCCTTAATGGCCAGGGGTGATGAGCATTTCTTCATGTGTTTCTTTGTCATTCTTACCTCTTCTTCTGAGAATTCTCTCCTTAGCTCCCTTGCCCATTTAGTGATTGGTTTATTAGGTGTGGGAGGGGTTCATTTCTTGAGCTCTTTGTATATATTGGGTATTAGGCCATCTGTTGCTGGTAAAGATCTTTTCCCAGTCTGTTGGCTGTCTTTCTAGTTTAGTAACTATGTCCTTAGCTGGGCAGATTCCTTTTATTTTATTTATTTATTTATTTTGTCAGTCATGGGGCTTGGGCTTGGGCGCTGTCCCTCAGCTCTTCAGCTCAAGGCGAGTGCTCTACCACTTGAGCTACAGCGCCACTTCCGGTTTTCTAGTGGTTTATTGGAGATAGGAGTCTCACGGTCTTTCCTGCCCAGGCTGGCTTTGAACCTCGATTCTCAGATCTCAGCCTCCTGAGTAGCTAGGATTACAGGCGTGAGCCACCGGCGCCTGGCTCCTTTTAATGTAGCACCACTTGTCAAGTCTCTCCTCTGTCTGTTCAGGAAGCTCCTGCCTCTCCCTGTGCATTCGCATGTCTCTCCTCTCTCTGGTTCCACAGTGTCAGGTCTGACATTGAGGTCTTTGATCCACTGTGAATTGGTATCAGTGCTTGGTGACAAATAGGGATCGACTTTTAGTTTTCGGCCTATGGCTGCCCAGTTTTCCCAACACCCATGACTGGCTTTTATTCTTCTTAATTCCGAAGATCTCCACTTTCAGCCAAACTGTGATTCTGCCAGTCAAGGTGTTTTCAGTGTTGCCGCCAGGGTTTCTGCGCAATCATGGGCCACAAAAAGCTTCTCAAACCCCAGACATTCTAAATTCTTTTTATTTTATTTTATTTTATTTGTGAACATACTGTACAGAGGGGTTACAATTACATGGGCAGGATAATGCGTACATTTCTTACCAAGCATTGCAGCCTCCTCCTTTGTTTACCCTTCACATCCCTTCCCAGCCTCCGCCCTTCCCCCCAGTCCCAATCCTTCTCCTTCTCCCCCTTCCCCCACCCCTGCACCGACGTTGTAAAGCTCATTTTGGACATGACAACTTGTACTTCTCATTGTTGCAACAGGTCCACCTGTATCCTTAAACAACTGGTTTTTCCCCATCTCCTCCACAAGTTATACTGACATCAAATATAGTGAAAGCAATGGTTATACTGTGGGGGAGGGACATACAAAGCAACAAAGAGATAATCTTATAAATACGTTAGAAACACATGCATGAAAGAAAAAAAACATTAAAATACACATCTAACGGTTCATTTTCCTAACATCACATGATCTGACTTTTCCGCTTGACTCAGACATATACTAGTTATTGCAAATAAGGGAAACCATGGGACCTATGTTTCTTTGGGCCTGGCTTACTTCACTTAATATAATTTTTTCCAAGTCTTTCCATTTCCTAACAAATGGGGCAATGTCATTTTTTCTGATGGAGGCATAGAATTCCATTGTGTATATATACCACATTTTCTTGATCCATTCATCTACTGAGGGGCATCTGAGTTGGTTCCATATCTTAGCTGTGGTAAATAATGCTGCAATAAACATAGTTGTGCTGGTAGCTTTAGTGTGGTCTTGTTTGTAGACATTTGGGTAAATGCCCAAAAGTGGGATTGCTGAGTCATAGGGGAGCTCTATGTGGAGTCTTTTGAGGAACCTCCATACTGCTTTCCAAAGTGGTTGAACAAGTTTACACTCCCACCAACAATGAAGTAAGGTTCCCTTCTGTCCACATCCCCCTAAATTCTTATCTAGATAAGGACAAAAAGGACGGCTCTGCCCAGCGCCCACGAGTGTCCGCAGCCCTGCCCTGCGGTGCCAGTTTAACGGCAGTCACAACGCCCTGGTGTCGCCCGCAGCTTCGCGCCTCCAGAGCAGCATCCACACCAGTTTGTCCGTGGTAGCAGGAGGAGCGGCAGGCTGGTGGTCAGGAGGAAGAGGGAAGTGGAGAGAGCAGCATAGAAAGTGGCCAGCGAGCAGCAAGGTCGCCAGTGCACGGGGCTGAGTCATGCGCAGGAAGTACGGATCGGCAGGGCTGGAGGCAGAGGCTCAGAGCGTTTCTCCCAAGTGGCCATTCCTGTGCACGTTGCTGGGGGAGCCGCTGGGCCAACGGGAAGACCTTTGAGTGTCTGAGGAGTCGCGTGAGGACACTGACAAAAGAGAAGTCCCCTTGGGTGTGTGCTGAAGGGACAAGGTAGGGAGCGTGACGCTGACTGTCCACAGTGCACGCTGCTGGCCGCGCGCATTGGCAGCTCGTCCCGGGGAGGGCTGGGCTTCTGGGCCACTGCCAGGTGCCGGGGCTTCTGCTCAGTCCTTGTCAGGTGAGAGCCAGAATGCTCTGGGCTGTGGATTGAGCACCCTGCTTTTCTTGGTGGTTCTGGGGACTGAGCCCACAGGCGTGCCCAACTACCGAGCTACCTCTGCAGCTCCACACCGTGTTTTGCATTGTACCTGTAAAGGTGACGTACAGAGGGGTCCCAATTATGTAAGTCAGGTAATGAGCACAGTCCTTTTCGAACAGTGTCACATGAGGCTTTTTAAAATGGTTCCTGGGGCATTCTAATGAGCTAGGAAGGGTTAGAATTACTGTGCTCAAATGTCTCAGCACAGGTGTGTGGATTATGAAGGTGGGTTAATTGCTCCAACATTTTGTGTGTGTGTGTGTGTGTGTGTGTGAGTGTGTGTGAGTGTGTGTGTGTGTGTGTGTGTGTGTGTGTTGGGGCTTGAATTCAGGGTTTTACATTCTTGCCTGGCTTTTTCATTCAAGTTTAGCACTCTACCACCTTGAGCCACAGCATCACTTCCATATTTCTGGTGGCTAATTGGAGATAAAGAGTCTCATGAGCTTTCCTGCCCAGGCTGGCTTTGAACCCTGATCCTCAGATCTCAGCCTCTCGAGTAGCTAGCATTACAGGAGTGAGCCACTGGCACCTGACTGCAACACATCCTAATGAGGTAGTTCAGTGGTTTGGAGAAATATTTTAAAATACCACATTTTCAAGTTTTATCCTAGAGCTACTTATAGAATTGGAGCCAGGCCTCAGACTTGTTTAAAAGCTCAACAGAAGATGGTAATTATTACCTAAACCTACAGCTTGCATGTCAAGTAGCTTGTCTTGTTTTGAAGATTATGTAGTATAGCATATATATTCAGCCCAAAGAAACCCTAGCTTTGCTTTAATCTTCATGGCGCTGGCCATATGTTCAGCGCCCGTGGTGCAGACTTGTACCCAAATGAACTTCAGAAAAGATTCTCTGCCCCCAGCCTGTTTGAGGAACTTCTGAGTGTCATTGTTAAGTATTGCAACTGGACAGACTTGCTTCCACATTCTGGCTTGTGGCTACTGAGACTGATTTGTGAAAGTCACAGCTCCAAAGCATTTCCCCAAAAATGCCTGTTTTCACCTCCTACTACCTCCCCTCCCCCCACCTCGGGTACCGAGGCTTGAACTCACGTCCTTGCAGTTTCATTTGGCTTTTTCCACTCGAGGCGGTTGCTCTATCACTCGAGCCACAGATCCACTTCTGGCTATTTGGTGGTTAATTGGAGACAAGAGTCTCCTGCCTGGGCTGGCTTTGAACCATAATCCTCAGATCTCAGCCTCCTGAGTAGGTAGGATTACAGGCGTGAGCCACCAACACCCAGCTTCAGCCTCTTTGTAAGGATCAAGTACAAACTTGGCCCATATTAAAAACTCACTATCTGGAGCAGCAGAAATATTGTTATTTCTAATACCGCTCATTCAATTTTTTCCCAGTTGGGATTAAAACATCATCTATTTTACCTTCCATAATTTTTTTCAACTTTGGATAATTCTATATTTATTTTTGTTGGTCACGGGACTTGAACTCTGGGCCTGGGCACTGTCCCTCAGCTCTTCAGGTCAAGCCGAGCACTCTTACCACTTGAGCCACAGTGCCACTTCTGGCTTTTTCTGTTTATGTGGTGCTGCGGAGTCAAACCCAGGGCCTCATGCATGCAAGGCAAGCGCTCTACCACTGAGCCACCTTCCCAGCCCTAACTCTCTAATCAATTCACTGCTTAAATGACTCTGTTAGAGCACTCACAAGGGATTCTGTCCTAAGTGCCTCTGGCAAGCCTGTGTAAGTGCTGTGGGTGTGGCTCCTCCTTGAGATAACTATCAGCTTCCAGCCAAAGGAGATTGTTTTAACAAATGAAATGCTAACCTTAACTAGGACTGGGTTCTACCGTAACTAGTGTTAGCTTTTGTTTCTAGAGATCAAAACCTTAATATTTGATTAAAAAATAATAACTGGCTTTGTAGTTAGTGCCTTCAAGCCTCAGCCTCCCAGTACTGGGATTTTTTTTTTTTGAGTGCAGCTAATTCTGTAAAACCATCTCCTATTCCTTCACTACCAAAGCTAAATAAGCAAAATAGACTTTTCAAGTCAATAGTTCATAGTAATTCCAGAAGGGCCCAGAGACTTGAAGTGAAATTGGACGTGTGTTTATTTTACTCGTGAACGAAGCAGAGTGTGGAGGAGAGTCGCTTTGAGAGCCAGTGGTGGAATTGTTCAGCAAACGAAAACCACGGCGCCGCGAACAACACCAGCACGTGGATCTAACAGAGCTGGGGGAATAGGGCTTCACTTTGCAGGGAGAAGGCTATAACTCGACAGCCTGGGCTAAGCTCCTTGTACCATTTGCCGTCATCTGTGGGGGTACAGGTGGTATAGGGGAGCAGGTGAAGTAAGGAGGTCAGGTCTGGCTGGACCATTATTGGCCACATAGTGGATGGTAGGGCCTGGCATCTTACCTTCATGCTGGGGGAAGGAAATCACCGCCCCCCCCCATCACCTGCCTCCCAGGATAATGGGCGTGCCCGAACCCCTGGAGGCAGGGACAGGCACTTGGCTGATAGGTTACTGAATCTGTCAGTCTAGTGTCTGGGACTGGGAATTTCCTGAGGATCTGTCCCCTGCACCGATCTATTTAGGCCCAGACCAGCCTAGCCACTGGATTCCATGCCACGTGTGTCTCTGTGATCGTGTCCTGCGTCCTGTCTCCTGGCTTGTCTCCAGTCATCATGAAGTCCCAATTCAGCTCTCCATTGGAGCTGAATTGGCTTGTTGGTATTGTTCTTATTATTTCTTTCCTCTTTAGAGTGTTTCCTGGCTGTGTTATGTGTATTTGCGTGCTGCAGGCCTTTGTAACAACTGGTGGCCCGCAGCCTGTATAATAACTGTATAATAAAGACTCCAATATTCTATATTTAATTTAATTAATTTATTTATTTTGGGTCCGGTCGTGTGGCCTGAACTCTGGGCCTGGGCGCTGTCCCTCAGCTCTTCAGCTCAAGGCTAGCACTCTACCACTTGAGCCACAGCGCCACTTCCAGCTTTTTTCTTTTTGCTTATGTGGTGCTGAGGAATCGAACCCAGGGCCTTATGCATGCAAGGCAAGCAATCTACCACTGAGCCACCTTCCCAGCCCTAATACTCTATATTTTAAAACGTGGCTTCTGGGATGGTGATTTACCTTACAACACAGGTACCTGAGGAATAGCCTCTGACTGAGATCAGGAAGCAAGTACTAAAAAGCCAAAGGGGAAGATGTTCTCTTTGTTGCAGCGCGCTCCCACGGCCCTGCGTGCTTCCTCCAGCCACCTGCTCCTGTCCCTTCCCTCCTTTTCCTGGGAACAGAAACCCTCGGCAAGTTCACTGACGGAGGAACCTCGACACAGCTTCGTGGGCTAGGTAGATTCTGCATGTGCCGCTCCAGGGAGCTCGTTACTCTTCACCGCCGGATCCCACCCGATCCAGGATCTCATGGCCGTGGGCCTGCTCCTGCCAGCATGGTCCCCCGAGGGCTGCGCTGGCTGGGGGAGGGCGCGGCTGGTACGCAGGGACTCTGAGATCCTCAACCCACTGAGGTTTAAGACAGTGAGTGAGGGACTTCAAGTATTGTCTTCAAACCTTTGAGGGGAACCTAAAACAGAAACTCAGCCTTGCCACCCATCCGTGGCTCTTGCCTGTAATCTCACCCGTAATTCTGGCCACTTAAGAATCTGAGATCTGAGGACCATGGTTCAAAGCCAGCTCAGGCAGGAAAGTTTGTGAGATTCTTTATCTCCAGTGATCCAGCAAAAAGCTAGACGTAGAACTTGAACTCAAGTGGTACAGTGCCAACCTGGGGCAAAATGGCCAAGTGAGAGCACAAGGCGCTGAGGTCGAGTTAGAACCAGCACCAAAAAAGAAAAGGGGGTACCATTAGTTTTTGTGAACCAATTGATTACTTATATATAGTATTGTAAAACAATAAAATAACTCATTAAGATAATTTAATGAGCCAGGTACCAGTGGCTCACCCCTGTAACTACTCAGGAGGCTGAGATTTGAGGATTATGGTTTGAAGCCAGATCAGGCAGAAAAGTCTGTGACTCCCTCCCCCCCCCCCACACACACTTGAACTGGTGGGTGCTGTCCCTAAGCTTCTTTTGCTCAAGGTTAACACTCTATGACTTGAGCTACAGCACCACTTCTGGCTTTTTCTCTGATTAACTGGAGAAAAGTCCCACTGACTTTCATGCCTGCGCTGACTAAGAGGCTCAGGGACAGCCTCCAGGCCCTGAGTTCAAGCCCCAGGACTAGCAAAAGAAAAAAGAAAACAACCAGGTAAATGGAGTGGGCAGGTGGGGTTGCGATTATGGGAGACAGTGACGAAAGACTGATAGAGATCCATTATAATCACAAATTGACATACTGAACTGAACTCTCTTTGTACAACTACTTGAGAATAATAAAATACATGTTAGAAGAAGAAAACAAGTTTTTAAATGTAGTATTGTATATTCCTCTCTACCTACCTCTCCCTCCAATTCCTCTCCCTGCACTCCTGATCTGCCCTCTGACCTGGAAGTGGGGAGCAGGTACTCCTGTCTAAAGGAATTCCATCAGTTCTCCTGCCCCGCCCCGCCCTGCCCCGCCCCTGTGTGGAGCTGGTCAGCTTGCATCTTCCCTTTCCAAGCAGTTTCATTTCCTCCTTGGAGCCAAAGGTCCCTCAAAGACTGGTTGTGCTCTGAGAGCTTCAGGTGTCTCCCCCTCCCCAACCCCATTCTGTACCCCAGGCTGGCCTTGAACTCCAGTCCTCCTCTTCTGATCTCCCAAGTGCTGGGCATACATCACCAGGCCTGCTTTGTTGAGATTATTCATTTATTTGTTTATTTTGGGTAT